AAATAAATTTATGCTCAACATAGTTTGTTTAAAGAACCTTGGAAGCCACAGTTTTAGAAAAATAAATTTTTTAGAGATGATTATCTGATCTAAAGTTGGACAGAGCTGGTTACTCACATAGGTCAAGGCCTCTAAAGCCAGAATGCTTTAACCACGCATATATTTATAAATATATATGTATTAGTTTAAAACCCCTGTGCACATGATGCCAAACAGCACTTACAGACCAAAGAATGGATTTTCAAAAAACAACTCATGCACACTACAACTTCGGCTCCTAAATCACTCTGGCACCCTAGTCAACAACAGGCAAAACTACCACCCACAGGCAAGCCATCTAACACTTTTCCAATTGTAGTACAAAGAAGAATCATGAGTTTAAATAGCTCCATTTTTTAATAATCTGGGGTCCCTGGCACATGTTATATTTCAGGTGTGATTAACATGCTAATTACAGCACAAACAGCAATATGCCACGAATTCATCAAAATTGTGGTGCCATGAAATGACAAACAAGCCACAAAACCAGACTTATCATCTGGACAAGGGAGAAGAGATTGATGTCATATATCTTGACTTCAAAAAAGCCTTCAATCTGGTATCCCATGATCACCTCTTGGCAAAACTGGACAATTGTGGCCGTGGGTCCACCACGATCCGCTGGCTGGGAAATTGGCCCAGTGGTCGGACCCAGAGGGTAGTAAGTGATGGAAGTCACTCATTATGGTGTCCTGTGACCAGTGGGGTCCCCCAAGGCTCTCTCCTTGGACCCATATTGTTCAACATCTTCATTAATGATGTGGACATTGGAGCCAGGAGCAGACTGGCCAAGTTCACCGATGACACCAAACTTTGGGGCAAAGCATCTACACCAGAAGACAGGCAGATGATCCAGGCTAACCTGGACAGGCTCAGCAAATGGGCAGATGAGAACCTGATGGTGTTTAACACCGAAAAATGCAACATCTCCATCTTGGGAAGAAAAACCTGCAACTTCCTTGTAGGCTCGGCAGTGCTACACTGGCTAGCACAGAAGAAAGAGACTTGGGGGTCATCATTGACCACAAG